ACACCGTCACCGCCACACCGTCACCGCCACACCGTCACCGCCACACCGTCACCGCCGACACCGTCACCGCCACACCGTCACCGCCACACCGACACCGCCACACCGACACCGCCGACACCGTCACCGCCACGCCGTCACCGCCGACACCGTCACCGCCACACCGTCACCGCCACACCGTCACCGCCACACCGTCACCGCCGACACCGTCACCGCCACACACCGTCACCGCCACACCGCCACACCGTCACCGCCACGCCGTCACCACCGACACCGTCACCACCGACACCGTCACCGCCACACCGTCACCGCCGACACCGTCACCGCCACACCGTCACCGCCGACACCGTCACCGCCACACCGTCACCGCCACACCGACACCACCGACACCGACACCGTCACACCGTCACCGCCACACCGTCACCACCACACCGTCACCGCCGACACCGTCACCACCGACACCGTCACCGCCACACCGTCACCGCCACACCGTCACCGCCACACCGTCACCGCCGACACCGTCACCGCCACACCGTCACACCGTCACCGCCACACACCGTCACCGCCACACCGTCACCGCCGACACCGTCACCGCCACACCATGGACATCCCCGGCGAGGCCACTCCTCCCCCGGCCACCACCACCGGCACCGCCACCACCGCCACCGGCACCACCACCGGCACCGCCAAGAAGCCGTTTGAGTGCGCGGTGTGCGGCAAGGCCTTCGCTCGCCTCCCGCACCTGCGCGTCCACCGGCGGACGCACACGGGGGAGCGCCCCTTCGCGTGCCCCCAGTGCCCCCGCGCCTTCGCCCAGTCGGGCCAGCTGCTCAACCACCGGCGGACGCACACGGGGGAGCGCCCCTTCGGCTGCGGCGTCTGCGGCAAGGCCTTCGCCGAGCTCGGCCACCTGCAGCGGCACGGCAAGATCCACACGGGCGAGCGGCCCTTCGTGTGCACGGTGTGCGGCAAGGAGTTCATCCAGTGCGGCCAGCTGAGGGCGCACGGGCGGACGCACACGGGCGAGCGGCCCTTCGGCTGCGGCGTCTGCGGCAAGGCCTTCGCGCAGTCCGGGCAGCTCCGGATCCACGGGCGGACCCACACGGGGGAGGAGCCCTTCGCGTGCGCGCTGTGCGGCCGGACGTTCTCGCAGTCGGGGCACCTGCGGAGGCACCAGAAGACTCACGGAGGAGGAGGCGGAGGAGGCGGAGGAGGAGGAGCAGGAGGAGGAGGAGCAGGGGAGTCGGGCGGAGTTGTTGCCGGAGGAGGGGCCGGAGGAGGGGCCGAGGGCGGTTCGGCGAAAGCGGTGAAGGGGCGGCGGGGAGGTCGCCGGTCTCGCCCGGCCACCGGACGGGAGGGCGATGGAGCTGCCACACAGGGTGGTGATGGAGCTACCACACAGGAGGGCGATGGAGCTGCCACACAGGGCGGTGATGGAGCTTCCACACAGGGTGGTGATGGAGCTACCACACAGGAGGGCGATGGAGCTGCCACACAGGGCGGTGATGGAGCTTCCACACAGGGTGGCAAGGGAGCTACCACACAGGAGGGCGATGGAGCTGCCACACAGGGCAGTGATGGAGCTACCACACAGGACAGTGATGGAGCTGCCACACAGGGTGGCAAGGGAACTACCACACAGGACAGTGATGGAGCTACCACACAGGGCGGTGATGGAGCTGCCACACAGGGCGGTGATGGAGCTGCCACACAGGACAGTGATGGAGCTACCACACAGGACAGTGATGGAGCTACCATACAGGGTGGCAAGGGAGCTACCACACAGGGTGGCAAGGGAACTACCACACAGGACAGTGATGGAGCTACCACACAGGACAGTGATGGAGCTACCACACAGGGTGGCAAGGGAGCTGCCACACAGGACAGTGATGGAGCTACCACACAGGGTGGCAAGGGAGCTACCACACAGGACAGTGATGGAGCTACCACACAGGGTGGCAAGGGAGCTACCACACAGGGTGGCAAGGGAGCTACCACACAGGGCAGTGATGGAGCTGCCACACAGGGCAGTGATGGAGCTTCCACACAGGACAGTGATGGAGCTACCACACAGGGTGGCAAGGGAGCTGCCACACAGGGCAGTGATGGAGCTACCACACAGGACAGTGATGGAGCTTCCACACAGGACAGTGATGGAGCTACCACACAGGAGGGCGAGGGAGCTGCCGGACGTTCCGATGGCCGACCGGAGAGCCGTCCGATGGAGACCGAAGACGGAGGAGACGGCGGTGGTGGCGGTGTTGTTGGGGGTGGTGGCGGTGTTGTTGGGGGTGGTGGCGGTGTTGTTGGGGGTGGTGGCGGTGCTGTTGGGGGTGGTGGCGGTGATGTTGGGGGTGGTGACGGTGTTGTTGGGGGTGGTGGCGGTGTTGTTGGGGGTGGTGGTGGCGGTGGCGGTGGTGGCGGTGGTGGTGGTGGAGGTGGTTTCCCGTCGGCCGGGACGGTGATTTCGGCCGCCAAACGGAAATGTCACGGTAGCAGCAGCCCCCACCGGTCTCAGGCGCCGGTGAAGGTGAAGCGTGGAGGTGGAGTTGAGGGCCGAGTTGAGGGCGACTGAGTAAAACTTATTCACACACACACAGACACAACAACAACCGCCATTCGCCACTAAGTGGTGGTGACGTCACCACGACGCTTGTGCCAGGCTATGTGCACCCTGAGGCCACGTGAAGTGTCGAACGCCCGCTGGCAGGAGGTCACGGGGCAGACCCAGCAGGTGCCACGGGTCGACTGACTGAGATGACTGACTGATGCACCACCTGTGCCCCCTACTGTGCCAACTTGCTGTGCTTTAGCCACCCGGCGCTCCGCTCGTTGTTGTGAGCGTCGCTCCTCCGCCCTCCGTTATTGTTGGAGGGCGACTGCCTCCAACTTCCCAGTAGCACTTTCACGAGCCTCCTCCACAGAGGCCGATCTTTACACCGCTGGTACCAGTCATCGGCAAGTCCACTCAGCTCCACGTCCCCCTGTATCACATCACTCCATCTCTTCTCTAGCCCATGCCGCGCCCGTTTAGCCCCCTCAATCTGGCCAAACAAAAGCTGTTTCGGCATGCGGTGGCTGGGCATGCGGGCTACATGACCCAGCCAACGCAGCCTTGCCTGCCGGAGGAGCTCACCGATGGGACTTTGCCCAGATCTTTCAAGGATTTGTGAGCTCCTCACACAATCCAGCCTGGTTAAACCAGGATTGATCGTAGGCAGTCCAGCCTAAATGTTTCTAACCGGCGAAGATGTTCCATTAGGGGGGTCCACGTCTCGCAAGCGTAGAGAAAGGAGGGAATGACCGTGGCCGAGAAGACCTGAAGCTTCGTGCGGAGCAACAGACCAGGTAGCTTCCACACAGCGTTACGCAACCGATGAAAAGATATTACCGCTCGACTGATTCGGAGTGAGACTTCTGCTATTAAACCAGAGCTGGTTATGAGCACACTGCCCAGGTATGGGAAACTCTCCACTCTCTCCACAACTGCCCCATCACTGATTGGGAGTTGGGTGGGTGGAGTGTCCGATGGTACAAAATACCCAGGCAGGTGCTTAGTTTTGGTGGGGCTGATGGTAAGGCCCCACCTCTTAGTGGCACGCTCCAGTCTCAGCAGCAGCGTCTCCAACTCCTCTGAATGAGCAGCAATTACCAAATCATCAGCATACATAACGTGGTTGAGCAATAGGGAGCCATCCCTTAACCGCACCCGGGCATCGATCAGCCTCCCATTGTATCTGTACCATGTGGAGATTCCCCCGGTACAGCTATTGAAGGCTTCACGAACTACGTGGTCAAAATAGATGTTAAATAATGTGGGAGCCAGAGGACATCCCTGTCGCACCCCAAGGTGTACAGGGAATGGTTCTGACTTCCGGCCACATAGTTTTACCCGGGCCCGCTCACCATCATGAAGGTCCTTAATGATCGTGAGCAGAGGGTCAGGGACTCTGAAAGCATGAAGAACAACCCAGAGCCCAGGCCTTCTGATGGTATCATAGGCCTTGACCAGGTCAATAAAGCATAGATGTAGGTCTTGCTGGAATTCTCTACACCTCTGCTGTAGCAGACGAGACAGAAAATATGGCATCGGTGCTGGACCACCCTTTCCTGAAACCGCATTGGGGCTCCGCAAGCCTCTCCTCAGCGTGCCTGGCGAGGTGATGCTGAATAATCCTTGCCAGGACCTTTCCCGGCACACTGAGGAGTGAGATGCCCCTGTAGTTGTTACAGTCTGTGCGGTCCCCCTTCTTAAAGAGGGGGACCACCAGGGCATCCTTCCAATCCTGTGGAACCCACCTAGTGGCCCAGACTGTTATGATGATATCATGTAGAGCAGTCTGTGCACAAACGCCACCCTCCCTCAGCATTTCGCTTGGGAGATCGTCTCTGCCCGGTGCCTTTCCTGGTCTCAGACTCTGGATCGCCTTCAGTACTTCCTCAACAGATGGCACCTCAGCCAGCCACTCACAGGGGGTGACTTCTTCCAATATTTGAGGCACCGCAGCCTCAGCATGGTCATCCCCACTTTTCCTGGCTGAGGGATTTCCCCTCCCCCAGGACCTCACAGAAATGCTCAGCAAATCTGCAAACCTGTTCCTGGGTGTCGGAGATTGGATCACTGTTTTTTCCCCTAATGATGGTAATAGGTGTGGCGCTGCAGGTTACTTTTTTGATGGAGTTAAATAGAGATTTGTCATCGCGGGCCACTGAGGCAGACTCCATCTCCTCAGCAACCTGCGACCACCACCCATCCTTGCAGCGCCTCACGGCTCTCTGAACCTCCAAGCGAAGGCTGCGGTAAGCCTCCTCATTCTCTGACGTGGGATTCAGTAGCCGATGACAGTGGGCCTGTCGCTTTTTCTCAACCATCCTGAACACCTCCTCTGTCAGCCAGGGTCTCTGGGGAGGTCTGGACCGCGTTCCCAAAGCAGCCATTGCCGCTGCCTGAGTCAGTCCTAAACCTCGCCCATTTACCCTCGACATTAGGAGTGGGGGACGAT